GTATATCATTACATTATGCAAAACAAAAGTTATATAGATCGTGGTCGCAGGTGATAACCATTCGTTACATTTTGTTAATTGCGTGTTATTTTATCCCTCCTTAATAGGTTCAGATCAAGCACAGGAATGGGTACCAGGCCCGCAACCGAAGTCTACAGTAGGACAGCTAGAAATGGAATTAGAATCTGGAGTGGGGGAGAGCCCGAAATACCAATCCAACACCATTCGAACATCGACACCAGGAAAGACACAGATATCCCAGATAGATTATTCATCACATACTGTGATGGTTGCTGGGGAGGATACTACTGCATCTGAGTGTACAGAGCTAAACAAAGCTGGTTTCATAGAAGACATGGAGGTGGAGACTGAGGAAGCATCAGACCAAATGGTAAGGAAAATGTATCATGAATTTAATTAGGGATAAATGTTTATGAAATTGATGTTTTAAAGATATCGTAGCTAAGAGGCTTTGTCAAAATGTTTTAGGAAAAAGGTTGCAGCTTAGAACAGAACAATGCCGAGAGCATTGCAAAGAAAGTCCAGGAATGATTGAAAACGACATGGATTATATTCCATTTTTGAAACCTTGGGTGTATGGAAAGAAAAGGATACTTATTTAAAGCTGCCTTTAATATACCAATGAGGATTTTCCCATAGCTGTAATATTTCTTTTTTTTTGCAGATGAACAGCTCTCATTTGCAGTCGTCACAGGGCTTTATCGTGGAAGCGGATGGAGAAGCTGATGGCACTAGAACACACGACCTGGTATGAAGGGCGATGGGCTGTTTAAGACAAAGAGTCGAACATATAATGTTGACACTAGGACTTATAAACGGTCACTGATATTGCCTTTGAATAGTCCAGCTGCACATATACTGATAATGATTCCCGTGAATCCTTAATACGCCTTTCCATAGAAAAGATGATTGAGGTGTAAGCATTGTAACAATATGTAGAAGGATTGTGATTTGTTCTTGCTAGTGTTAAGTCTTTTTCCCTTTTGCAGGCTGATAAATCTTCGACTGGGTGTGTGGAAGTTTCGCAAGATGCTTTAACAGATAGCAGAGTCGCCTCGGCCCTAACAACTGCTCCTCCAAGCAGCACCCCTCCACCAAACAGCACTCCCGCTTTCACACATTCGACTCCTTCTAGCACTACAGAGGTCCATAAAGACCTTTTTACATCTTCCGTGTGCATCGATATGCCGTCGAGCAGCGACAGTTCGACAGCAGACTCAGCCCTCTCAACGCCATACTCAGCGAAAACGCCGGTTTCCTACGCACAATCGATGCCCACGAGTCCTGTTCAGAATGAGTCTCTCACAGCAATGGATGGAATTGGACGACAAGAGGAGTCCGGATCTTCCAGTCCCATTCCTAAGTTACCAGTCAAGAGGAATATTTTCTACAGTTCCCCTGTGCCCCTTTCGGAGGCCGGGACCCACATGCCCGCCCCAAGCAGCAGCAATTCCCCAACCATCTCCTGGACCCCCCAGTCATCCTCGCCGTTCTTCGCCAGCGAGAGTTTGCAGACGTCCGTAGTCCAGTCTCAGGGTACCTCGAGGAAGCCGGAGAAGCCTCCCTCGCCAGGAAGTCCCTTTGGCTTCATGTTAGGGGGACGTTCGGATGCTGGCAGAGTGGCGGCCGGAGCTCTTAGTCTCTTTGGCTCGCCAGGGAACACGGATGGTTTGTAGACTCGACTCGAATTTCAGCCATATATTAGGATAAAACTAACTACCGGTGTTTCTTTATATAAGTGACCCCTTTTTCCATTTGTTATCATTGTTACTTGTGTAATATTACGGGGTGCATTTTCAACACCATCACGTCTTCAGGGCGTGATGGGATTATTTTATTCAGACTCGTCGTTCAGTCCGCCTCCTTTACTCTACACTATATCCTACCATTTTACCATTCTTTAGGTCTTGACGACGCCAGCCAGCAAAGTTCCGGTGTTAACTTCTCACTGTTCGGCGACTCCCAGCCATCTCAAGAAAGGGACAGTGGAGGAGGCTTCTTCAATTTCAACTTCAGCGGGACACAGGGTTCTCCCAGCACCAACTTCTCTCCCGGCAACTTCCTCTCCTCGCTCTTCGATGGCTCCTCCTCCTCCTCCTCCTCTCGGAGTTCCGATAGAGAGGGCGGCGGGGCAGGATTCAAGCTTTTCTGAGTGAAGAGATTTCTGCAAGATGGTGTTGCTGTGGTAGGAAGGGCTTTGTTAGGCTTTAGAGATAGGAAGTTTTTTTCTTTTTCTCTTTTCCTTGTTTCAGTTTTAGACACGAAAAAAAATGTTTTGTACTTACTGGATATCGAAGAATTCGATTTGTTTGTTACCAGTATATTAAGGAATGAGATGTGAATAAATGTGCTAAAAACGTATCTGAAAGAATTAAACTGACGAACACTGTTACCCCGTTTAAAAGAAATGGAGTCTGTGATTGAAGAAAAGTTTCGAGAATATATGTTGTTGTTTTTTTTAGTTTAGTTTAGTCATGCTTATTTCCTCTAGCATAATGGAAAGTTAGGGTTGTCATTTATTGTTATTATTTACATTTACCTCAAGTAGATATTAAAAGAAAAAAAAAAATCTAACTTCCCTGCAAAAGGTTAAAAGAAAGTGAAAGCCTACAGTTCTTACATGTAGATTTACTTCAACATTCGTTATTTTGAATAACAGCTCTAGATTACTTTTTTTTTTTTTTTTTTTTTTTTTTTTAGTTTTCTAAACGAAGTGGACAAAGGCATTTTCGTATATAACGCACAGGTTATGGTTTCTTGCATTTTATTTTGTAGTATCAGAGTGTAAGCAGTTTATCATATAAATTCAGCGAGAATCTAATTACGATTAAGTATTTGTCATGATTTTTTTCTTACTTTTTACTTTTTTCAAGCACCTCGCCGTATAACTTTTCTATACATTAATAGACATGATGGTGACAAGTAGATTGGAATATAATTCAGCCTAAAATAAAGAGTATGAAATCTCACTCCCATTTTCTCTCTTTCCTCCTGCTTTAAAGTCTTTTATATAAAGTCTTCCTCTTCCATATCCGTCAAGGAGGTCGAATCTTCGTATACTAGAGCTGGCCAAAGTAAATGCTAAGGAGCACATCCAATCAGGCAAGCACACAGACACGCAAAAGCACGCAACACACTCAACACACACACGCACACGCACGCACACACACACACGTAAAATTGATTAATCATATGAATGCTCTTTCCCACTTTCTGACGAGCCTGCGGGAAGATGGGGAAAATTAAATAAAAAAGGGAGAGGAAAGATGTTTTTCGCGGTAATGTTGTAGTTCAGAGGCCGTTGTGGGAGTGTAAGAAGCTAGATATGCGAAGCTGAACCAAAGGAGCCCGATTTTTTTTTTTTTTTTTAGTTTTCTAAACGAAGTGGACAAAGGCATTTTCGTATATAGAGAAAACTAATGATTAACGCACAGGTTATGGTTTCTTGCATTTTATTTTGTAGTATCAGAGAGGAAGCAGTTTATCATATAAATTCAGCAAGAATCTAATTACGATTAAGTATTTGTCATGATTTTTGTCTTACTTTTTACTTTTTTCAAGCACCTCGCCGTATAACTTTTCTATACATTAATAGACATGATGGTGACAAGTAGATTGGAATATAATTCAGCCTAAAATAAAGAGTATGAAATCTCACTCCCATTTTCTCTCTTTCCTCCTGCTTTAAAGTCTTTTATATAAAGTCTTCCTCTTCCATATCCGTCAAGGAGGTCGAATCTTCGTATACTAGAGCTGGCCAAAGTAAATGCTAAGGAGCACATCCAATCAGGCAAGCACACAGACACGCAAAAGCACGCAACACACACACGCACACGCACGCACACACACACACGTAAAATTGATTAATCATATGAATGCTCTTTCCCACTTTCTGACGAGCCTGCGGGAAGATGGGGAAAATGAAATAAAAAAGGGAGAGGAAAGATGTTTTTCGCGGTAAAGTTGCAGTTCAGAGGCTGTTGTGGGAGTGTAAGAAGCTAGATATGCGAAGCTGAACCAAAGGAGCCCGACCTGTGCCGACTAATGCTGTCTCGATTAGTGTGTTAGTTGGTACTGACTCGACTGAATTAGTCCTTACCCACCATGGTGCCCAGCCAGAACAGTAACCCCTAGGCAACAGTTGCAACTTCTCGCGTCCGAGCGGGGCGCGAACTGCCGGTCCCCTGGATGAAAGTTCGGTGCACTATCGGCCGGAGGCTGGCGGGAGTGTTGATCGCAAATGTTTTAGACAACGCTTTACGTTTATGCAAATCTCACACAAAAAAATCGATTGGGTAATTTTCTTCTTACGCTAATACCTTTATATGACCGACAGCAATATGTCAACACGATTTATATCTTTTATTGACAATTCTCTTGTTTTCGTAATTTGGCTAAAACTTGCCGGGTGCACCAGTTAATCACAGTTATATGTCAGTCTGGTCACGAATCTTTTTTCCATAATCATTTCATGTTTAAAGTATCAGCAGCAAAAATTTCATACAGTGATTTTCACCATAAATTATTCAGAAATAATTTGTTTAGCATTGTCGTAGAATACTTCAGTCATTACAGAATTTTAATCTTTTCTTCATTATACTCAGTTTATGCACCAAAATAACAAGAAAGGCATTGAAAATAAAATTCTATTTTTATTTCTGTTTATGCTAAGTGCTTTCCCAACTTTTCACACGTTTTATACTGAAATGAAGACCCCCAAAATTGTGTTGAGGCTTAAGGTGAGACACTCTCTTAAGACATAAGAAAGTTTTGTTCTGGATTTTCCCTGTTAACTTCTAAAATACCTTCCAGAGTGTCCAGTTAGTATCATTGAAATATAGTCACATGATAGTGAGGAGCAAAAATCTAGGGACCTCCATTTATTATTATTATTATTATTATTATTATTATTTTACAGAAAGGATTTACTTCCCTGAACAGTAATAACACACTAGAAAGGAAATTTTGACTTTGTTTCCTTTCTCTAAAGGCTTAATTGCTAAACAATCATGTAACTCTGTTGAAAATATATATTTTTGGGTGTTCAAATAATTACAAAGTTTTAAAATTATTTCTACATCTTTAAAGGCAACCTTTTTTACAATTAAATTTTTGCCATTAACTTACTAATGAAAAAATAAATCTGGATTATCTTTTTTCCCAGACTTCATATAGCTGTACATTTTGGAACAATTAGTATGTTTGATATAATTGGTTCTCAATATTTTTTTTACTATTACAGAAAGACCATATTTAAGCATACCGATACTCAGTGATCATCCGGAGAAATATATTAAATCAAGCAAACATACATATAGACTTATTTTCAGTATATTTTTAAGAAACTACATCACAGACAAAGTAGACCTTCATTAATAACTTTACATTACCCATAGCATGTCATCTAGGAACATTCCATTCCACTCTAGCAATAACTTCATGCTGGTAAAATGTGCATTATTCTTATTACTTTGAAAGATACAAATACTAATCTCTACTTCAGTAAGATATTTAACCAAATGCTAATTAATTAGACAAATGAGGTAAAAATTTGATCACAATAAAGTTGACTGTACCAATTATAGCACACTGTACAGAAAACAATTCAAAATCAACAATCATTCATAAAAACTAATCTCCTGAGTATGTTAACGCAAGTAAAAAAAAGATCACAGATGATGAACTGCCTTAATTATCGGGCAAAACTTTATAGGGGTTGAGTATTCCATTTGGATCCATGATTTTCTTCATCTGCTTCATGAGGCCTATTGCGCCATCTGACTTTGAGAAGTGGATGTAGTTCCTCTTCTTGAAGCCCAGTCCATGCTCAGCACTGATGCTTCCCTTAACTCTTGCGGTCCACTCAAATATCGTCGGTTCAATTCGATTGAGGATCTCCTGTTGGGAGTGAATGTTAGTGAGATGGGTAAAAGACCAACAAAACACGATTCACTGAGTTTTGTTGTTAACCCATTCGCCCCACGTGGCAAGAATAGATGCCATACCAACATTGATACATGTTTAGTTATTTTATTTACACATAGATGGCTCCACAAGTTCTTAACCCAATGGTGCTGGGGAAAATGAACAAAAAATGGAGAAAATGCTGTGCCCACTTTCTATGTTTTTTGTGAAATGTCTGCCGATAGATGGTTCTGCTAGCGCCTGATTTGAAATGGTGGGAAAAACGTATTTTTCACTAGTGCTATGAAAATCGATTGTGTTATTTTTATTATAAATCATTATAATTTTTATAATGTTTTTTAACATTAGTAACAGCAAAATAAGATTACGTAAAATATTTCGTAAATCAAAGAAACGGGTAAACGGGCGAGACGGTCGGTACTCGTAGTTGGTTCATTGGTGATTTAGTACAAGTGTTGCCATCTATGCCTAAAAACAATCAAGCAAGTACTCACGGTGGGCACAGCACGTACGTACATGTCATACCCGGCACCAATGGGTTAATCACCAAATAGCCAGTTATCAAAAACTACCTATTTCACCTGCTTAACCTTTTCCTTCACTGTAGGAAAGGTTTTTTTGTATCATTTCGTTGTCTAAAATATTCTAATGACAATTTAATAATCATAACATCAATGACAATAATAACAGTATTGATAGCAATAGTATTAATTTTCCCACCAATTCAATGAATGGAAAAATCAGGGTCGGTAACTAGGGCCTACTGATAGACTCCTTGCCAGCTTGAGCACATGTGGAGCCATCTGTATGTACCAAAATTCACCAAAAACTACAGGGGACAGAACATAAATCCGGGGCAAATGGGTTAATGGTCTGGAAATGACAGCAAGAAAGGAATATTTTCTATAGTTCAACTTCTTTTAAACACATATTTCATATCTTTTCATATTCTTTGCTGGAAATATTTATCATACCTTTTCATATTCTTTGCTGGTAATATTTAGGTGAAGGTTTCCATCACCTATGTGTCCATATCCACAACAACGAATAATGCTGGAGCCCAGATGTTCCCTCATGTCTTCTACCATCTTATAGAAGTGAGGTAAGGGGATAGAAATATCATATCTGTGGGGACAATAGAAACAAAGCAATTAGAAAGTGGGGGAAAAAATATATAAATAAAAAAGAGAAAAAAAGAAAGAAATAGATAGTTACATCATTGTTGAGAGCTAAACTTTTTACAAATCAAGTCACTGAAACTAGAGAGACAAATATTTCTTTTTAACTACTTGTTAAACTAATTGCTAATGACAAACTGACATGATTGTTTGAGATTATGACACAAAATGCAAATATTCTTTGTTATACCATACCGCAATATGACAATATATTTTATTCTGTTGTACAGATAGTCCCCTACTTACGAACATTCTACTTACAAATATTCTACTTACGAACATTCCATACATACGAACAATTTTTTTTAAATACTTAAGTCATAAAAATTGTTTGAAAGTTGCTAGCAAACTTCAAATTTCCCAGGGCGTGAATATAGTTCACAAGTCTGCCACGCCGTGGCGCTGCCGCGCTCACTCAGCTATGCACATCACTCGCCTCAGTCGCCTGCCCTCCCGCCATAACCACGAAAACATCTGTTCACTGTGTCCTCGTGTACCGCCAATTTTTGTGCCATAATTCGCTTTACCTGTGCATCAAACCATCAAAAATGTTGGGTGTGAAGAGAAAGATAAACGGTGAAGCCAGTGGAATTGCCAAGAAACGTCAAACAACTCCATGTGAACAAGACAAATCTTACGAGTTTCCTAATTTTTATTCCAAGCATGCAATGTTTTCTGTTTTATATTTCATGTGAAATGCTTTCATGTATGTAACCCTAACGTTACAATGTGTAACCTAAATGGAGTCTGTACCCTAGCGGTAACCATGGCAGCTGTTTGACCCTGATATACAGACGCTTAGTCATCCCAGATTTATAGACACCTGTTCAACCCCATTGATCGATGCCATGTTAATCTATCCATGTTTATCGATTTTTCTCTGTATGGTATGGCGTCATCCCTGGTCTAACAGACATAAGCTTCGCGTTGTGTGACGGCCATGGTTGTGTTCTCCCCTGCTCAGCCTACCACATGCCATCTTATTGATTGGTTCGCCAGCCATCACCACTACAATATACTTTCTTTTTTAATAAATTATGTTTCTACATTAAAGTTGTATGAATCACCATCAAATAATATTAAAAGCATTACATATTACAGGCACTGTATAAGGTATGTCATACTTATTGGGATTTATGTACACAAAACTTTAAAACAATGGGGAAAAAGGCAATGGAGACCCGACTTTGGACATACAAACAAATGGAGTTACGAACAGCCTCTTGGTCCCCATTATGTTCGTAAGTTGGGGACTTACTGTATTTGCAGGAAACTTAATGTCCTGTAATATTATGCAGTTTCACTATATACAAAAGTTAAAAGTAAGTAGGAATGTAAACCATACAAATAGCTTGAAAATCCAGATTAACTACCACTGTACAACTGTAATCCACATTCCACCAAGGGGTTAGGAGTTCTTACCAGTCTCTATGGTATTTGGGACTTGAAGTAGCAAAAGAATATTTACACATTCCTTATTTCTAGGACTGGATATGTTGGAATAACTGCATTTCTAATTAACTAGACAGGGCATTACTTCCTCTTTTTACTTACAAAATATAAGTACATTAATTGTCATGATACAAATGTACATGCATCCATGCATATTCATTCTTGTGAAGCAACAAATAATAAATAATCTACAATCCATAACCTAAATCATTCATCAAAAACATTATTATGTTTTTCAGTGTATTACTATAGAGAGAAAATCTCAAAACATAAACCAAACCAATTTTCTACCCAAAGAAGCACAAGCTTACTGTGAACACCACTGTTCTCCGTGCCATGATTAACGATACAGGACCAACCCACATGTAAGCAAGCACATGACATACACAACAACTGACTTATATGTGTAGCCATCAGCGATCAGGGATTCAGCTATTCTTTCTCTAAGACTCCAAATGTGCTGAATTCTTGAAGGTTCAGTTGCCACAGTGCCATCCGTCACCTGGCCGGAGCTCATTACATACTCCAAAAATGTGTTCAGCTTTTCTTCATCATGGTCCCCATTAGATCCTGAAATTTATTTTCTTTTTCAGTCTAATTACAGCAATCAATTTGTATGTAAGAATACAGAATACAGCACTTACCAGCAGGCAATCATGCAAGTAAAAGTGTCTGGCTGTCTTTAGACAAACAATGAAAGTATTAAAAATACATATACATACATGAGGCATTTATTTCATGAAGTTGATAAGCACCACCCCTGCCAAAACTGAGTTAGGCATACCACTGTATTCCCCAACCATCCCTCTATCTTAGAAACACTCATCTGGAAATGTCTGAAATTCTGTTTATCCACAAGAACTGTTGAGCTTTGTTGGTGGGTAAGGAGAGGCTGTTACAAAATGAAAGCAAGAAGTCAGAGAGAAAATGAAGCATTTTTAGTGGGTTCACTACATAGACAAGAAATTCAGCTGTTTGCATGCATAGTTGGTTTCATAGATAAAACTGCATGCCATTTTCTCATGTTTTTATGTGTGGCACTTCTTGAATTTAGCACCTCACATCTACAAAACAAAAACACAAATTATGTATGTAAATACAAGTAAATAAATTCATAGAGCAGTAAATAAATAAACAAATAAATACACATAAAAAAGAAATAAGAAAGAAAGAGAGAGAAAACAAACAAACAAACAATCAATCATATCATACCTGATGTTTCAATGAGCATGTAATAAGGATGTGGCTCAATGGGTGACCTCAACTTCAAGTTCTCTTCCACACACTCCAGAGAACTTCTGTCAATGAACTCACAGGAACTTAATATCTCTCCCAGCTTTGACTTTGCATCTCTGAATGTTTGGAGAACATCATCAAAACTCTGGAGGCCTAGGAAAGCTAGATTCACAGCTGCTGGTCTTGGAGGACAATTGATGGCAAGCTGAAAATTTAGTCAGGTGTGAATCATTTAAATCACTGCTATCATCCAATGACAGTACAGATGTTTCAATAAGACAGGATGAGAGATTCACTGCACTGAATAATTCACATTAATTCCATAAAATATCATCCCACTAACCTTGGTAACTATTCCTAATGTTCCTTCAGAACCAATAAAAAGATGTTTGAGGTCATATCCTGTGTTGTCTTTCTTCATGGTGGACAAGCAATTGATGATTTCTCCCGAAGCCAGCACAGCTTCCACTCCCAGGACAGATCCATGAAGGCTTCCATATCGCAGCAACCGGAGTCCACCTGCACAGAACTTTTTATTAAATGATGAAGGCTGTATTAATTGATGATGAATATGAATCAGGAAATGAAATGACAATCAAAATAAAAATCGTCCTGTACAAGAATGATATCTTTGGCTAGCCCCATGGTATTCCAACTTTTAAAAATATAATAATTAGCACTAAATATCCACTTCACATAAGAAGAAATTCTGTGCAACAAGAGGAACAGGACACACCGGCATTAGTGGAAACATTCCCACCGATATGGCAACTCCCTTTGGCACCCAGGTCAAGAGGAACCATCAAGCCATGCTCTGCTACATGTTGGTCTAAAGCCTCCAGCACACACCCGGACTGACACACTACAACACCAGACCAGCTGTCTACACTTTCCACTTGGTTCATTAAGGCCGTGGAGATGATCACTTCATCGAAAACAGGTACACTTCCTCCTACTAGGCCTGTGTTCCCACCTGCAAAGAATCATCATAGATTCCCTTGAATTAGGTAATATAATGTCTTTTTCTCTTCCATGTAATGATGGGCTGAAAATAGTATCAAGTTGACCATTAGATTTCTTTGTTGAATACAAATGACAGGATAACAGTCTGGATTCTGAAAGGAAGATACGAGGAGAGAGAGAAAGAGAAAGAGAAGATCAAAAGAGAGAGAAGGGAAGGAAAGAAAAAAACTGAATATATCTATACCTTGAGGGCAGACTGCAAGTTTATGTTGATTACAGTATCTAAGAATGGCTGATACTTCTTCCGTGCTCTTAGGCTTCAGAAGAACAGAGGAAGCTCCACGTACCATTCCTAGCCAGTCAGTGTTATGGCCCTCAAGTTCTGATTCCTCTGTTATGATTCTATGTGGGCTAAGAAGCTCAGTGAAGAACTGGATATCTTCAGGTGTTATTTGGGAAAATGGACCTCTTTCAACAGGATATCTGCCAAATTGAATAACTCACTGTCTACCTTTGCTGAAGATACAGTTATTTTTGGTCTTAAGTCTACCCAAAATAACAACTTTTCTATTGACACTTCCTCTTTGTTTCATTCTTTTCACCAATTTGTTAGGGTACTCAAAATCTTTTCTAATCCAAAAAATCAAACCAAATAAACCCAGCAAGTATGTAATATTACAAGTGTGGTGAGGTTTCCATATTTAACACAACATGGCTGATAGTGATCTTATAGCCCAGCAAACATGAAACATATATGTGGCAAGACTAAGTTGAAATTAGCTCCTCATTTGACAATAAACCATCAAGCAGTTCAATGAAATTGCCAAAATTTGCTAACAGGATCTGGTTCCTGTATCATTGCAGTTTATGGCATTTAGGAGCACATAACTCAAATGAAATGAAGCAGGCATATTAGTTGGCTGGTAATATGGAACATGACTGAAGAATGGTTGTTACATATAACAATAAATATTTCCTTTATTCAAGTGCTAGATAGGTCACAGATGCAACACTTAAAACCTAATAGTCAATCAAATGACAGAACTTTTGTTTAGAAAATCTGAGGTTGTCCAAGAATAAAATAATACCCATTGACTTGCCTTTTTGACGTTAATTCACACTTTGGGAAACATACAACAGGTGCTGTGTGAACATGTTTCTCTCCGGTGCATACTTTGGGGCCCAAGACAGACACAGCCCTCGTCAAAGGTCTGAGGCTTGACGATCCAAACCTTGCAATTCTCGCTGCCATGATCTCACTGAAGAAAATATTGAAATTCTATATGGAAATGTAAGAGAATTTGATTAAATAATAAAATGTAATACTTCATTATTATTTATAAATAATATGCACAAACTTATTACATTCATTACTTTTTATATCACAGTTTATCAAACATGTCTTAATCTTCTACATGGCCATCTCCTCACCTCCATATGGCCATCTCACCTCTACACCCACATTATCTTTACATGGCCATCTCAGCTCTACATGGCCATCTCCTCACCTTCATATGGCCATCTCCTCACCTCTACATGGCCATCTCCTCACCTCAACATGGCCATCTCATCACCTCTACATGGCCATCTCATCACCTCAACATGGCCATCTCATCACCTCTATATGGCCATCTCATCACTTCCACATGGCCATCTCCTCACCTCTACATGGCCATCTCCTCACCTCAACATGGCCATCTCCTCACCTCAACTTGGCCATCTCCTCACTTCCACATGGCCATCTCATCACCTCTACATGGTCATCTCCTCACCTCTTCCACCACCTGGTCATCACAGCCCTCAGTGCACACGACACCACAACTACCTAACATTAACCCTTACCAACAATACCACTACTCACTCTACCATGACCATCACCCCCCACACCCCCCCATCTTATGCCAGCCACCATGGCACTCGCTACTGAGGCACATCCGAACAAATGCCTTAATATGTCCTTTAGGGTTTACGTTCCCACATCTGGGAACCTCCGAACTGTATGATCTAGATAAGATCTGTATACAATGTAACTTGTTTGTATATATTATGTATTACATCCTCATAATTATATTTTATGTAACTCGTATGGCCATAAGACATGCTCAAAGGCCTATGCTTCGTAATCAGGTTCGTACAGAGAGACATAGAGTAAACCTTAATCTTTTCCTATAAATCTATCTAAAAAGTAAGGAAAAACTCATTAGCTTTAAGAAGATTAGTTGTAATTTCTTAATATATTCACAAGAGCGCTATAATAAGTTAAAAAAAAAAAAGTCATAATGATTCACTAATTCATCATCATGACTTTGCAGTAATAATCTAAATACTACTACTATATGTAATTAGTAATTTTCTATCTTTCTCTTAAATAACTTTTTTTTTTATCCCCTACAAATGAAGACCTTAGTTTAAAAACTTCAACCAAGAAGGAAATAAAATAAAAGTTTGAGTGATAGTAATAAGAATAATTAAAAGAAAAAAAATAACACTCGAGTTCCTTCATATTTGTAGTCTTTATAGGAAATAAAATAAAGTTTGAATAATAATAATAAGAATAATTAAAAGGAAAAAAATAACACCGGAGTTCATTCATTTATATAGTCTGGACTTTTCCTACTGTGTTAATAAGAGAATAAGGACTATATCATCGGCTTATCTAAAACTACACTAAGTCCAATAACAGCACATCCTTATCATAACACAAGATCCGTAAATCAAATCAAAATAAGGGATTAATAAATAAATAAGGAAGATAAAAAAAAAGGAATTAATTCGAAAAGGGAACGAAATTACACACCTTTTAGTACCTTTAGTAATGACTATGGGATACAGTTCTCGATCGTTGTCTCTTAAGAAGGCCTACGCGTTACATAATACGAGACGTGACCTTGATTTTATCAGTTTAATAAGTGCGTATAAAAATAAATTCAATTTTCGGCGAAATTTACTTCTTCGGTCTCCTTCCATAAGGGCGAGCGCTGTTCGATTCCGTTGACTTTGGCTTCGGTTTGGTGTTTGGTTGAACTCGGGGGTTTCTCGATGCGACGACCTTTCTTATAAGTATTTGAGTGATTGATCTGTTATTATTATTATTATTTTTTGGATCTACCATTCTTATTGGTATCTTGAACGCCTACGCAATTTTTAAGGTAACGTAGGCGGAATATTCATACCCGGATCAAACAGGATTACACAAGTCCGAACGATAATCGTCAATTGCTAGATATCACGGATCTTCATAAAAAGAAATAAGAAGATAATTCTAATAATGAATTCTAATGTGCATTCTAATATCTAATAGTGAATTCTAATAAATGATAGTGAATTCTAATATCTAATAGTGAATTCTAATAAATGATAGTGAATTCTAATATCTAATAGTGAATTCTAATATCTAATCTAATAATTCTAATTCTAATATCCAATATCTAATCTAATTCTAATATCTAATAATAATAATTCTAATATCTAATCTAATTCTAATATCTAATATCTAATAATTCTAATTCTAATATCTAATAATAATAATTCTAATATCTAATCTAATTCTAATATCTGATAATAATAATTCTAATATCTAATCTAATTCTGATATCTAATAATAATAATAATTATAATTCTAATATCTATTAATTCTACTATCTAATATCTAATCTAATTCTAATATCTAATAATAATAAACTCTAATAATTTACATAATGAATTCGAATATCTGAGAGTACGAAAACAAGAGGAGAAAAAGGACAGAAAAATAAAATATTGCTTGTTTGTTAGTTTTTGTATAAAAAAAGACGTATGGAGAAAGTACCGAATAAAGCATAAATACAAATAAAACAGAAAAATCTTGATAACGTTCTCATATATATATATATATATATATATATATATATATATATATATATATATATATATATATATATATATATTATGTGTGTGTGTGTGTGTGTGTGTGTGTGTGTCTATGTGTGTGTGTGTGTGTGTGTATGTATGTATGTATATAAACATTCCAAAATCTTAACCTTGTTCATACAAGGAAAAAAAAGACAGATATTAGTGACAAGTAAAACACTGAGCCGAACAAAAGCGAAAAAAAATCCCATAATTGCAACCGCGATAGAAAAAAAGGTAAATATTTTAGGCAGTTTGTTTACACCGAGCGCCCAGTGGCACCCTCGCCCAGTGCCACCCTCGCCGCCTCCACCTGCTGGCACTCTCCCCTCGCCTG